AGGGGCGGCGACGGGGCCGCTAGGGGCGGCGACGGGGCCGCGTAGGGGCGGCGTCAGGGCCGCGTAGGGGCGGCGACGGGGCCGCGTAGGGAGGGGAGCGGCTACGGGGCCGCTAGGGGCGGCGACGGGGCCGCGTAGGGGCGGCGACAGGGCCGCTAGGGGCGGCGACGGGGCCGCGTAGGGGCAGCAACGGGGCCGCGTAGGGAGGGAGGCGGCAACGGGGCCGCTAGGGGCAGCGACAAGGCCGCTAGGGGCGGCGACGGGGCCGCGTAGGGGCGGCGACGGGGCCGCTAGGGGCCGCGAGGGGCCTGGAAGGGCGGTGACGGGGCCGCTAGGGGCGGCGACGGGGCCGCTAAGGGTGGCGCGAGGGGCCGTGAGAGGGGCCTCTAAGAGAGCTCGACAGAAGGGCAGCCCACAAGGCGCGCCTCGGGCAGGAGCGACTGTCGCTCCGGTCAGAAAAAAAAGTTTCAGTGGTGGGCCCAAGGAAGTGTTCCCACTAGGGAACCTGCTCTATACCATGTGAAGAAATGAGGAATGAATGAAGTAGCAAGCAGGTGGGTACAAGTAGGAAAACCTAGAAGTGGTGTACCCCATATTGTCTACCCCACTACAGCCTACACAGACTATAGCATATGAGTTTGACAGAACTCATCGCCCTTTCGTCAGCCGAAGCAGAGTTCATCACCGCCAGCGCAGCTATTCGCGAAGAACTGTACCTGATGGAGCTCCTACAGGAAGCGAAAGTGACGATGAACGGACACTTCACGTTACTCTGCGACAACCAGGGCGCAATCAAGATTGCAAACAAGCCCGGCTTCATGAACCGCACGAAACGCATCACCCTCCGCTACTTTTTCGTCAAGGACGAAATTGACAAAGGCAAGGTCAAGCTCACGTACTGCCCAACTAGTGACATGGCAGCCGACTTTCTGACAAAGAAATTGCCACATCAACGGTTCCAGCACTATGCCGATCTCTGCAGGATCACCAACAAGTCCCACGTGGCTCACCTTTATGAATGAAGGGGAGTGTTGGAATAACCGAAAGGTTATCGTAAGCATTCCCGAAGGCTCTTCACTCTCGCGTCACTTCAAAACGAAGTAAGCGCCTATATCAGTATTGCAATAGCTCATATAGAGCACGTGGAAGGTCGAGGGTCACCTGAAGGTCAACAGTTGAAGACAGTCAACGGTCGTAACCCTTGACTGCCAAATAACCGCACTTGGTAGTTACGCGATGCAACATGGTAACTGTCAAGAATAGCAATAGTCGTGGTTACTGTAGCAATGTAATTCAGTTAATAAGGGAATGTACATCTCAGAGTACATGGCTAGCTACAATTTCTATTTATATCCTTGTACTCCTATCCTATAATCATCTTGTTCTCTCTCATTTTATCAACAAGGTCATCACAAAGACTTTATAGTTCTCTCATATACTCAGCAGTCTTATCATATCCACTGTGATCCTTCAGTTATAACATCAAGCGGAAGCGTTTAACGTAGGCTGATTGAACCACCTTGGACTGGTGTGTGAGAACAAGATAAGTTGATAATAGTAAAGAGATACAGGGCTTTATATAATTAACAAGGAATATAAAAGGTTTAACTAACTGTAACTGCTATTGCAATTCGATACAGCGACGACTCGGGTAACTGCTCAATAGTGAGTCAGTTATTTGTCCTTACTGTCGCGCTGCTTTCGGCGAGTCAAAGGTCGTTGATATTTGACCTTCGCTTTACCACTTGCTGTTGTTTTTTGTCAACCGCTTTGGTTGACTCGCTGTTACTTCGCTGTAGTTAGCTTCGCTTACATTGTAGTGCTCGAGACATGAGAAGCGCGAACTATATGTTTCCAATATATTCTAGCACTACCGTACTTTTGTCAATCCTTGCACTATTGAACAAGGCTAGGCCAGCATACGCGTCGGGAGTAGCCCCATTCCCAATCCTCGTTGCGTACCGTTTCCATATACGCCAGCTTTTGCTAATTCCTGTACGTCTTTGTCCGTATTGCAATCCTAGCTTCACTCGTTTAGTCGTTGAGTAGCTTCATGAATATAAGGGCATGTTACATTTTCGATTTTTCCGGACGGTCCGGAAAATTACTACTCTGAAACGTATTGAGACCCACTTGAACAAAGCGTTCTACAAATAAACCACTTGGAACCGTTCTGACGGTCCGGTTCGTTTAAAATAAAATCGAAAATGTAACACGCCCTAACCGTAATGATTCTTACACGTCTTTTATTCTGGCGCAGGACTCATGAGTGCAGTTTCCGACCTCTGTACCGAGCGTCGGACATACGCGTGAAAAAGATTCGAGCCCACCTCCCCCACAGAGCGATAAGTTTTCATTGACAGATGTGGAAACAACATGATCTGCCCATGTACATTGGGACCGGGCAGTTGTACGCACGGTACAGTCCCAATTGTTGGTCGCAGCTGGTGATCACACAGCTTATTGCACAGTCATCCGCCGCTTCGTTAGATGTTTTCAAAGTGTTACCAACATTTCTTCACTTGCTGACCACAGTCCCAAATTTCCCCTTGGCGAATCTGGCGAGGTAGGCGAACATCTTGTGCTGACTTCAGGTGTTCAAGATGTTCGCCTACCTCGCCATGTGCTCACTCGAAGGAAATCGTTTCAGTGTGCATAGATGCAACGTTTTTGGGCATTTATCTTATATGTAACAAACTTGGAGCTCAGTCGCACTCGAGTGAAACCACGTGTACAAATCGTAACAGTCGTATCCTGTGATCGCCTTTGTGGTAACCATTATGCCTACCTGGTCAACGTTAAAGCCTGAGTGGTAATAAACAGTGCATTTCGAATTCCAAACTGGTAATTGATCATTTCAACCGTAGTGTACACCGTTCGTCCACACTATAACTCGGCAAAACGGTAATGGATTAAGAGTGTAATAGCTCGGGTTTTAACTAAGTTACATGTATAAATTGAACATGTGATTCTGAAAACAATAATGGCTATTTATAAATGGGTTACATTTTTTTTAAAATATGTTTTCAGAATCCCCAACAGTTTATGAATATCATGTTTAGATAGCTGTAATAATGGTGATATTATATCAATATATTTCTTCAGTTATAGCATCATAGCCGAAGAGGTACATTATTATAATATCACTGGTATACATACGTAGATATTTTTTTCAGGAGATGTTTGGGCTCCTAAAATATTGCGCAAGAATAATCTGTCAACAGATGTAGATAGCCATTATTGTTTTCATTTCAGGCTTACATGTTCAAGCTATATATGGAACTTTATTACAACGCGAACTATTTTCTCTTCTTTATTACCGTTTGCCGAGTTATATTCTGTACGTACGGTGTACACTACGTTTGAAATGATCAGTTACCGAATTGGAGTTCAATATTCTGTGTTCGTTACCATTTAGGCAATAACTTTGACCAGGTAGGCATAACAGTCACATCATAGGATACGATTGTGACAATTTGTACACGTAGTTGAACGTTTTTTCGATCGAGCTCCATGATTGTTACCAATAAAACAAATGCCCATGGTTTTTTCACAACCCACTACTGTATGGTCAAGTGGTCTCTCCACCCCACCAAGGCTGTCGATTGGTTCGGCCCAGAAAGCAGGACCATAATTTTTGCGTTGGCCCAAACCTGGCCTGTTAGCAAACGGGCTGATGAGGCGTATTTCGAAACGTCTATCTAGAAATCAACACTCGAGTTGTTGTGCTCATCACTAGTGTGATTTTTTTTTTTTTTTTTTTGATTTCGTTATAGCTAGCTAGTCTGCGACGCAGCGACCGGGTGGATTCCTTCCATGGGTATGAAAATACACAGCTGACCCTCCTCTGTCGGTGTGGAAGTTGCGTTCTTGTTTAAGAACTCCCGGTTAGGCTCCGAAAACGCTCGGATCAAATCCAGATTAGGCCCAGCCCTCGCCCAACGAACATGAGTGGGTATCCCTAGAATCCAGCCTGGGCGAGGGCAAATGTCCTTTGTAACCACATCCCTGCACCCCGCGAGGGCAAATAGGGCGACCTGTCATTTCCTCCCACCCCTCTCACCGTGGCGCCTTGGTGTCAGCTCTTGCCATGCCACACGACTCGACGAAAGTCCGGCCGACGTGTGTGCCTCGCTTTCTCTCCTCTCCTCTCCTCTTCAACCCCGTCCCCCCCTCTACTGCCATGACACTCGTCATCAGCTCGACCCCCCACCCCAGCCCGCCTCTCCTCCCAACGGCAATCAGCAGATTGAGGCAGGTCCTTTCAGACCAGACCAGACCAGACCTGTGTGGTCCGTCCCACAGGTGCTTCTAGTACAGTACACACGCAGCTGCTCCATCCTCCAGTAGTTGCTTGTGCCACACCGGCTCCGTGTCTCACGTCTCAGCCTCTCTTGGTACCCGAGGAACTCGGCCGTGATATAATTCCCTTTCCCAGCGCGCACGCCCCGCATTGCGCTCTCCGAGACTCGCAGCGCCGACATACACTCCTTACGCCCACGTTTCTCTCCACCAACGCTGCGCACCCTCCACGCGAAGCTTCCCCGCGAGCCCCGTGAGGCGCAATGACGCCGTCTGTCCGGCTGCTGCCGAACGTGGTGGAGATTCAGGAGACCTTACACGCGCTCATGTACCGCTCGTACGGTCTGCGGCTCGAGCATTTCGTCGTAGAGGACGGCCACACGCGCATGGCCTGCTGGGTCCCCGCTTCGCACGGTACCAAACCCGCCTACGACGACGGCGACGATCACAACGACGCCGACGACGGCGGCGACTCTGTCGCCTCGCCGGCGACGGCCAGCGAGCGACGGAGTAGCGGCCGACGCAAGCCACCATTGCTGCTTATCCACGGCTTCGGCGCGTCGTCGCTGAACCACTGGATAAAGCAAATTCCCGTGCTGTCGCGGCACTTCGACCTGTACATTCCTAGCCTCGTCTTCTTCTTCTCCTCCACCAGCGCCAGCGCGAAGCGCCGCGGAGAGTTCTTGCAGGCGGAAGCCATGCTGGGGCTCATGGACGCGCTCGGTATAGAGCGGTGCCAAGTGGTGGGGCTCAGCTACGGGGGAATTGTCGCGTACCGGTGAGAATGGGGGCGTGTTGCGAGAATAAGCCATCCGAGTTGAAGCATTAATCCTCGCGAGATGGTTAGCGCGACGGCGGTGTAACGAGATCCTAGTAATTAACTAAAGTATCGCGGTACGGTCGTAATGCGAAGAGCCAATGTTGGTCACACAGGACGCGCGCGGCGCGCGGCATGCTGCATGGTGCCGAGACGCTCAAGGATATCCACGTGCAGGCACGCGCCGAATTGACCTCACGCCTATAGTACAAGCTTAATTTTGCGAGCGAGGCTAAACATGTGCGAGCATGTGAGTTATAGTACTACTAGTACCCCCAGGGCCTCGAATGACGCGTGTCGCATGCCGCCCGAATGACGCCTTACGAACGTCGGATGAGGGACGCATGCATGTCGCCGGAATGCCCGCGGCGCATTTGCAAGATGCGGCAACCGTCATGCCGCCGAGCACCCCAAGCCGCTGAATGTCGTGCATTTGGTTTCCTTGCGTTTCCAAGCACCAAATAATCATAGTTCAGCCCACCCATCCCCTCTAGCTCCCGTCTCTTTCCGCGTTCAATGCCCTCCTTCCCCGCGCAGCATGGCGACGCTCTCCCCGTCGCGCGTGGCGCGGCTGGCGGTGGCGGGGTCGGGCGTGATGATGAACCGCGCGGAGTACGACGCGCTCATCGATCGCTGGGGCGTGCGCAGCACCGTGCCGCTCTTCCTTCCGCGTACGCCCGCGGAGCTGCTGCGCCTGATCGGCATGGCGCACCGCGAGACGCCGTACCTGCCCGAGTGGATTCTCCAAGACGCTGTTGACGTGAGTGCGCGCGGTGTGTGCGGGGGAAACGGGGGGAGAGAGAGGGGGAATAAAGGAGAAAAAGGGGGGAGAGAGAGGGGGAATAAAGGAGAAAAAGGGGGGAGAGAGAGGGGGAGAGGATGGAAGCGGGGGAAATGGGAGATAATGATTTTGCATGGCGAGGAATGAGGGTGAAGTGGCAGCAGTGCGGCGGCAGGTGGGCTTTCGTCATGCGTCTCCCTGTCCACCCCTCATAGTCTTGTTACTCACGCCTGTGCGCTCGCTGTCGTGCTCGCGCGTCGCATTGCTGCGTTGCTGGTTTGCTGCGATGCTTGCTCTGCTGCGTTGCTCTCACAGTGCTCCCGCATGATCTCACAGTGCTTCATCCGGGGGGGCGTTGCGCTCATGCGTGGTGTGTTGTGCATGGTGTGGTGCGTGCAGCGCTTCTTCGAGAACAGGGAGGAGAAGGCGCAACTACTGGAGGACCTGTGCAAGCAGAGAGTGCACGGCGACGCACTCTACCCCGTGCCAACCATGGTCAGTGCTCTCTGCGTACAATGCAGTGTAGCGCAATGCAGTGCATGTGAAAGTCAGGTCTGAGCTCAGAGTGGCCTCTGCAAGACGAGCTGTAAGCCAGGGCTGACACTGGCATGCCTCTTGTACCTTTTCTGATGCCGCATGTGCATGTGCTGCATTATCTCGCAACCCCCAACCCCTCACGAGCACTTTTTTAAGCCTGTATTTCATGCTGTGGTTACAGGAGACGCTAATCCTGTGGGGAGAGGATGATGCAGTGTTCCCGATCTCCATTGGCTACCGCATGCATAAGTACGTGTGCCACTGCCACTCCACCCTGCTGCACACTGCCATGCAATGCCACACAATGCAATGCAATGCCATCCATTGCCACGCACTACCAGACAACGCCATGCAGTGCTGTCCTTGAAGCCCTGCTTGTGCATACCGTTGTCACTTTCCCTCACCATCCAGCATCTGCCCCACTCTTCGCTTCCACCCACCCGCAATCCCCATCCGACCCAACCCCCTTCCTTCTCCCCTCCCCTCTCTTGCTCCATGCGCTCACTGCTGCGTCCCCTTCCCCTCCTAACGCAGGCACTTTGGACCGTGCAGTCGCCTGGAGGTGTTTGAAAAAGGCTCGCATGCACTACAAGCGGACGACACCACTCGATTCAACCACACCATCCTCACCTTCTTACTGCACGGCAATGCTCCCACCCACACTCGCTCCTCCTCTCCTCCTTCTTCTGCTGCTGTTGGAGCTGCACCTGCTGCGATCTCGCCTGGTTTGCTGTCTGCTGGAGTGGTGGCAGTGGCAGCTGGTGCGGCAGCGTTGGCAGCAGGGGCTGTGGCTGCGATATCAGCAGCAACGGTCGTGCAATAGCAGAGCAGACAAGGAGCAAAGGCGTTCTTCTGAATTTCTTGACCAAGGGAGTGTTGCTGCAGGTGCACAGCAGCAGCGGACATTTCCCCATCACCTGGTTCAGTGTGGTTGAAATATGACCCAGCGCCATACTACATTTCACAAAGCAGCAGTTTTTTCCACTGCATGGCAGCATCGCGTACGTAGCTGCTCCCATTACCTTGGACTGGTTCAACTGCTCCCTTCCTTACGGTGTAGTGCAGGAGCTGTGGGGGCTTGCAGTGTGACAGGGGGCAGTGATGCTGGAGGTGCGGGGCGAGGTGGAGCAAAAGGAACGTGTGAATGCTGTTTTGAATCACTTTGGCTCCATGTTGAGAGATACATTCCTACACCTTAACGAGTATGGGTTGTTAGCTAATAACGCTTTCCTGTATGTTTTTTTTCATGTTAATAAAGTTGGGGGATCATGGCATGGTACATAGTTTATATTTAGCAAATCCAGTAACAAGTGATTCGGTTAGGGACCTAAACCTCATGAAACTGACGGTGTGAAATATTCCTCAGTGCAAGCTGGAAAATAGCCATACCGGTACGAACTCTTACTACCTGGCTAGCTATTTCTGTAGCTAATGAGCCTATTATAATTTGTAGGTTATTTCGTTATGCAGATTGTGAAACCTTCCTTCTCTACTTCACTGAACTGTAACTCCTCCACCAATACGGACAAGCTTTACCTGCAGTTGCTGGGTGGGACCACCAACCAACTCGCGAAATGGGCAGTTGGGAGCAGAAACCAGTAAGGAACGCGCAATCTTCGTTGCACTCACTGCCGTGGATTTCTATGCTCATCTCTGTCAGTGCCACATGGCTGGCAGTGAGGTATGATGTGGTCCTCCTTACTGTACACCCGATGCCTATTTCAGTCTCCTTCCCCATCTTCCCCTGTGCTCCTCTCTCGAGCACGCGCTAGCTAGGGGCCGAATAGAACTGAATGTAGAACAAAGGTGACAAACTCAACTACAGTAGCCAAACTTTTGGGTAGCCCAGCGTGTATTGTCTGGAAAACTTGAGTATCTTGGATTTGTCGTGGGCCAGTAGCGTTCGGGCCGTTGGCTGTGAATGTCGACCACTGGGCGTATGGAGTAGCATGGAACGTGTTCAGAGTGGGCGGTTGGGTGAGCATTAGGGTGTACACGGTGTCATGGCTGCTCGGTCAGGGCACATGCCAGCCAGGCGTTGGCTTCCGCGTGACCGCGTCCTTCTCGTGGTGCCTCTGCTACCCGAGGCTCCGGTTCGGAACAAAATTGGTCTGGGCTTCCTTTGGCACGGTGGTTCGGCGCGCTTCAACGTCTGCTTGAACTTCCTATTCCGAGCTTCCTTCGAAACTCTGGGGGTCAAGCGGGCCAGCACAAAACCCCAACGCTCGCTCCAACAGACCTGATTTTCCTCCTCCCAAGTTTTGCAGCCTTCTCTGCTAGCCAGTTTGACTTTAGTTTCTCCCCACCGTTTCTCCAACTGCCGCTTTAGGTATTTTCCCTTCTGGAAATTTCCCTACATCTTTCTTCGCCTTTCCCTAAACGCTCTCCGTTCATTTCGTGTTCTTCAATAACGTCCGAGCTGGAGTCGCGGAATCTCAGTATTGTCAGGGAGCTTTATGCCGCTCTCGGATCTGGCGACCTGCTGAGAGCCCGAGCGCACTTGGCGGAGGACGTGGACTGGTGGTTCCATGGTCCTAAATCTCGCCAGCTGCGTTGCATGCAATTTCTGTCGCTGATTGTCGGGGAAGTTGATTCTGATGGTGTGAAGTTCATGCCCGTCGATGTGACTGCCAAAAACGACAAGGTGCGCAGTGTTTCGACCGCCTTCATGTTCGCTAGCCATTTCTGGTTTCTGTTATAACTCACTTGTTTGCTATGTCCATGCAGGTTATTTCCGAGGGTGTCAGCATCGTGAAGACCCGTCGTGGAGCGCTGGTGGATGTGGCGTGGGTCCACGTCTGGACGGTGTCGCCCGTCAGCGGCAGAGTGACTGGACTCCAAGAGTTCGTCAACACTGCCGTTTCCGCGACTGTGCTTGGACCTGCTTCTGGCGCGCTAAGCTCGCTGCCCGCGGCTTCATGCCGCGAGGCTATGGCTTCCAGCGCGAAGCTAGGTGCTAGCTCTGTAGCATCTAACAGACTTCAAGTCTGGGAGTCTCGCCTGTGGCGTGAGCAGAAGTCTTCTCTGCCTGGCCTTATTCTCACCCTTTAATCTCTCTGCTTATGCAGATCTGGTTGAGGCCAATGTCTCATGTTAGTGTGTGTAGGCGCTGTTTGCAGTTCTTTTTGGTGTGGTGTGGTTTCTTGGATGATGCACGAACTAAGCAGCAGTATTGCTGATTCCTACAAGTGATATCTGTATGTTTTATGTGCATAGGCTGGCGTGGTTGAATTGCCTAAAGAATGATGTATAAAAGTGCGTTACCCCGTTACCGGGATCAGAATCAGGGAGTGGGCTTTTTTTTCCCACAGCAAATGATTTCGAAGCATTCAAGTGTGTTTGCAACCGCGTTCTAGGACATCCGTATGCAGCTTTCGAGCTGTATCTGTGCCCCTTCTCTCGCCGCCTTGTGAAGGAGTGAGCTCTTATCCAGGATCTACCTGGTTCACCGATCTCCACATTTGGCCAATAACGACCACAGCTATCGACTAGGAACTTCAGAAACAACCTAGAGTAGTGCCGAATTTCAGGGCGATGCGGCCGAGCGTGCGATCGACGGACGAACCGTTAGAGCCGACTACTGGTTCCCCATAAGACTCTCTAGTTTCATCACCCGATGTATTCGATCCCGCAAATCTGACCGCAAATATCTCCCCGCTCATCTGGCTACCTATCCGGTTTCTCCCGTTCCTGGGTATCTCGTTCCAGTAATCGCCCTAAACAACGCCGTTTGCTCCGATTCGGCCTTGCTAGTTAAGGCTGGTGCAGCAAGCGTGAGGCACTTCCATTTCCACGTGCCTCACGTTTGAATCCGCATCTGCGGCACCGGCATCAGCTGCAGTCGCCGCAACGGCAGCAGCGGCGAGCAGCATCCTTCGTGCGATCAGCCTTGAGCAATGAACCCTGCATGCCACATGGTTACCCGCCTGCTGATTCCATGAGATTTTCGCAGCGCCTTCGCCTTTCGAATGCTGTAGACTGCACTGGCTGCTCGTCCACGCCTTCTTATTGCGCGCCGAGCTCCTCCACTTCCAAATCTCTACTCATCGGAACGTAAACGCGCGTACCAGCTATCGTGACCCCCTTGGATAGTCTCGCATTTGGCACGGAAACCCTACCTCAGGTGCGTCCGATCCCGGTCCATCCATACTCCGGTCATCGTCGCATCATTCCGTCTTCCTTCCTCCGGTGTACTGCCTCTCGTACTTTCAACTGCTTGCATGGCCCCGTCTCTCCTCCCTCCTCTTCTTCACCCCACGCTTCTCCATTCCCCCCCTCACCCCCCCTCCCCCCTCTCGCTTGAACAGTCGCGCCCAGCCTTCCCTCCGCCGTTTCCGCCCAGCGGAAAGCTCCGCTCCGCCCATGGACGCGTTCCCCGAGGAGCTGCTCACTCCGCCGGTGCCCCTGGTGGCGCTGCTGGGCGTGCCGGAGCTCCACGTGGCAATCGCGCAGCACCTGCAGGCGCAGTCCCCGCCCGTGGCGTCCGTGTTCGTGCCCGACCGCGCGGACGCGGCGGAGGTGAGCGGGAAGGAGCGGCGGCCCGCGGACGCCAAGTGCGCGCCGCCGCTGGGCGTGGTGAAGGCGGAGTGGGTGAAGAAGCACCGCGAGCGCATCCCCGCGGCGGCGGTGGTGCTGGTGGAGAAGGCGCTGCTGTGCGGGGATGCGGGCGCGTGGCAGTCCGTGTGCGCCGAGATCGACCAGATCAAGTGCGTGTGTGTAGTGTGGTGTGGTGTGGTGTGGTGTGGTGTGATGGGTGTGGTGTGGAGAGTTGGTGGGTCTGCTGGGTTGTGTGGGGGAGGGGGAGGGAGATTGGAGAGGTAGGGTTGGGCAGATGGGAGTCGGAAGGAGGGTGGGGGGTTGCGAGATCAGTACACGAAAGGGGATGGTGGGTGATGATGGGTGATGATGGGAGAGGGTTGAAGGAAGAAAGAGGAGACGATGAGTTTGGAGGAGGTGAAAGCTACGGCGCGGTGATGTGATGTGGAGGCATGCCAAAGACCAATGACGCTGTGCCTAGCCGATTACCTCTGACTTTGATTGATGCACATGCGTGTGTGTGCTGGACGGTGGAGCCAGAAGTAGCCAAGAGTGCCCTCATGTGTGTATGTCCCCTTGTCCCGTTGAACGCGTGATGCGTGGACGCATGTGTGTGCATGCATGGATATGCATGGATGCACATGTGTGTATGCATGCATGGATGCACATGTGTGTATGCATGCATGGATGCACATGTGTGTATGCATGCATGGATGCACATGTGTGTATGCATGCATGGATGCACATGTGTGTATGCGTGCATGGATGCACATGTGTGTATGCATGCATGGATGCACATGTGTGTATGCGTGCATGGATGCACATGTGTGTATGCGTGCATTGTTCCTGTGCCCTACAGGAGTGCGTTGAGGGGGCGTAATGTGAAGCTCGTTCTGCTGCTCGTGCAGGCCTCAGCAGGCGGTAAGCCCAGTCAGCCCCGCACTGCCTGCTCATCCTCCCTGCCACTTGACACCACTCCATACTACTTTGTACCACTCCATACCAGTCCATGCCACTTTGTGCCGTGCCACGTATGTTGAGGCGTTTTGGAGCTCTTCCATGCCACGCTGTGCCATGCTGCTGTCAGCGCCAGCAGCCAGGCTCACCATTGCACACTGGATCATGCTTGCCCATGCCTCCCCATGCCTTCCCATCCATGCCTCTCCATGCCTTCCCATGCCTGTCGGGAGCACAGCCAAGTGTGGCTGAACAGTTGACCTCGTGCCTTCCACAACCATAATTATTCCCCATGCCCCATGCCCCATGCCCCATGCCCCATGTCCCATGCCCCAAGCGCCATGCCCCATGTCCCATGCCCCAATCGCCATGCCCCATGTCACATGCCCTAAGCCCCGTCTCCCATGCCACGTGGCACATGCCACACGCCTAGTCTCACATGCCCCACATCCCCCTCCCGCTACCGCCCGGGTCAGGTGAGATGAGTGAGGAGCGGCTGGGCATGCTGAAGCGGCGGGCGGAGGTGGATGGGCGCAGCTGCATCCCCTTCCTCGTGGGCGATGCTGAGGACCAGAAACGCTCCCTCTCCCGGTGAGATGCACATGCACACATGCGCGGGCACATGCACATGCACATGCACATGCGCATGCACATGTGCTTGCACAAATGCCCACATGCGCACCCCCTCTTCTTATGTCGCCCTTCCTCTGCTCCCTCCTTTTCTCCCGGCATTGTTGATTGTATAACCCATCCCTCCCCCCTAGCATCAATCACATGGCCTACCTCTTTAGCTTCATGTCACTTTTGCCACGTCTGTGCTTCTAGCTGCTCAGGATATTGACTCCCCCTACCCCCCTCCCCCCCGGCCCCCATCTCCCTCTGCCACCGTCTCCCCCTGTTCCCCTCTCCCTCTGCTCCTCTGCCCCCTTTCCCCCCCTGCCCCTCACCCTCCCCCGCCCCTGACCCTCGGCAACCCTCGCCCAATATCCCTCGTCACCCCTTCGCGCCTCAGGCTGTACGTGGTGGTGGTGGAGCTGTGCGTCAACTACTACAGCTTTTAGACGGCTAAACATTCCCCCCTTCGCTCCCTGCCCCTCGGCCCCCTCGGCCCCCCTCGGCCCCTCTTTCTCCCCGCCCACCTCCCTGCGCCCAATGGCAGGCTGTACGCGGTGGTGGTGGAGCTGTGCGGCAACTACTACCGGGACGAGGTGCGGCGCATGCGCCTCAAGATAGAGCGCCGCGCGTACTCGCACACGGAGCTCACCGTGCGATACTACTTCAAGGTGCGTGCATGCACCGTGCAGGGACCGCACCGCACCGCACCGCACGGCTGTGTGTGTGTGTGCCGTGTGACTTTTGAGTCGACTCGGAAGTTGTAAGGTGGAGCGCTGTGCCTACATTGCGCTCACCGTGCGAGACTGCTTCAAGGTGCGTGCAGTGCGTGCGTGCACCGGGCAGTGTGCAGTGTGCATCTTTGAGGCGCGTCAAACCTAGACGCCTGCTTGCACACCGAGCTCATCGTGCGATACTACTTCAAGGTGCGTGCGTGCACCGTGCAGTGGCCATGCACCGTGCAGTGGGCAGTGGGCAGCCTGGGGCGCTGTTTGCACTCCCGGATGTCACTCTCTCCCACGCTCTTGTACTTCCTTTCAAACCCTCTGGGTGGTTCCCTTGTACTCTCCCACGCTGCACGCCTTGGTGTGTCCCTCCTTTACCAGCACAGCCCTCCTGTCCACGTCCCCCCATTTTTTGAAAATTCTAAAAAAACACACGCTCTTGTCCACGTCCCCCCATTCTCCCCTCTGTTCCCCCCCGCTTCCTTTTCCACCCTCCTCCCTCCCCCCCTCCTCTGATCCCCCCCAGATGGGCATGTATTGTGAGTTCCGTCGCGAGTGGCTGCCTGCTGTCAAGTGCTACGAGGCGGCCTTCCTCTCGCTGCAGGAGGTAACGCCGTGTCTCACTCCCCTGTGACGATTCAAGAAGCCTGGCTGAATTGAACCACCTGTGTGTGTGTTGTTGCGTTGCGTTGGCTGCCCATCGTCTCATTTTTCCAATTTTATTCCTGGCCGTTTCCTTCTTTGTGAAATTTCCGAAACTTGTTTTACCTCACTCTCTCCTCCCTCCAATTCCTTTTCCATGTCTCTTTCTTTTCCTTGCTCCCCCCTCCCTCCCCTTCTCCCTCCCCCCCTCCGTCCTTCTCCCTCCTATCCTCCCTACATCCCCCCTCCACGCACCTCACCTTTACCCCACGCCGCCTCCCTTCCCCCTCCATCCCCACACAGCTCTTCTCAGGAGCATCGGAGCGCTACCCCTTGCAAACCGTCCTGGAAGTAAAAGCAGTGGCTGAGGTACTCAGCCTCAAGGTCTGCACGCTCCTGCTGCACTCGGGCCGCGAGGTCGAAGCAGTGGGCTGGTTCCGCACCTTCATGGAGTGGTTCCGAGCCCGTGTGGGCCCTCCTGAAGCTGCTTTTCTGCACTGGGGATGGATGGCGAGGCAGTATGAGGTGTTTGGGGAGTTGCTGCAGCAGAGGCTGGCGTCGTCTGGGCATGTGGTGGGGACGCCGGCTGGTGCTGCTCTTGCTGTTGGGTCTGCTGCTGCGGCGGCGGCGGCTCCTGTGGTGGGGGTAGGAGGGGGTGGGGGTGTGGAGGGGGACGATGCTGCTGTTGCTGCGGCTGCTTCTGCTGCTGCCGCTGATGCTGATGGGATGAAACTCACAGGGCCACCGTTGGCTGCTGCGTCGCTTGCTCCGTCCCCTGCTCCTTCCTCCGCCTCCCTCTCCTCCCTCTCCTCCTTCCCGCCCTCTGCGCCCTCCTCCCTTCCCTCCTCCGCCCGCTCCTCCCCTCCTCTCTCCCCCGCTCCTAGCACCGCCTCCTCCACCTCCTCCGTCCCTCCCCTCCCCACCCCTGTCACAGCCGCCACCGCTGCCGCAGCCGCTGCCGCCGCAGCCGCAGCAGCAGTGGCAGTAGCAACAAGCGCAACCGCTGCCGCCACTGCCGCTGCCACCACAGCAGCAGTCACAGCCACAGCAACGCCTCTTCCACCCGCCTTGGAAGGCCAGGGTCCCTTCTCATCCCAGTCCCTGCGCGTTCCGCTAGTAGCACGCGTTTTCCAGCTAGCAGCGAAGCACATGCTCAGGCACAGGCGTGCATATGACGATGCCCGTTTGGCTCTGGATACTTTTGGATTGGCGGCGCTGGGAGGGGATGGAGGCGGCGTGGGAGGGGTTCAGGCGGGGGCGTTTGGAGCGGTTGGAGTGAGTGTGGATGGGTTGGTGGATGTTCTGGCGGAGGGGAATTCGGGAGTGGAGGAGCCGGTGTATGTGGGGCAGGCGTGCCGGCTGGTGTTCCGAGGCCAGGCGCCACACGAGCAGCGGTGAGTGCGGTACTGCTGGAGGGGTTTGAGGATTGATGGGTGGTTGTGTGGGGCATGGTGTGTGGTGCGTTGAGAGTGGTGGGTGGTGGGTGGAGTGTGGTGCGGCATGGTGTGTGGTGTACGGTGCAGGGGGCAGGGCGTATGGTGCCTGGCACATTGCACATGGTACGTGGTGCACACGCATGGTTGCTCCTTTTCAGGTGCCTCTCTTGCCCCCGTCTACCTTCCTCCTCTCTCCCTCGTCGTCAGTATCGTCCCTCACACCCTCTCACCCACTTGTTCCTCTCTCTCCACCCACCCACCGTACGCACACAACTTCTTCTCCTGACGTCCCACCCGCAACCCCCCCCTCCCGATCCCCCACCCACACCCTCCCAGCCCCACGGACCAGGAGGTGCTGCTGCACGAGGGTATGCAGTGGCGGTCAGGGCACCTGTCAGGGACCCTCATACTCTCCCCCTTCTCCCCACGCCCACGCTATGCTCGCTCACAGCGCCTTTCCCTTCCCTCTCCCCCCGAGATGACTTTTAAGTCGACTCAAAAGTCGCCCCCCCCACCTGTCTTCCCCTACATCCCCTTCCCTCTCCCCCCGAGATGACTTTTAAGTCGACTCAAAAGTCGCCCCCCCCACCTGTCTTCCCCTATATCCCCTTCCCTCTCCCCCCGAGATGACTTTTAAGTCGACTCAAAAGTCGCCCCCCCACCTGTCTTCCCCTATATCCCCTTCCCTCTCCCCCCGAGATGACTTTTAAGTCGACTCAAAAGTCGCCCCCCCACCTGTCTTCCCCTATATCCCCTTCCCTCCCCCCCCGAGATGACTTTTAAGTCGACTCAAAAGTCGCCCCCCCCACCTGTCTTCCCCTATATCCCCTTCCCTCTCCCCCCGAGATGACTTTTAAGTCGACTCAAAAGTCGCCCCCCCCCACCTGTCTTCCCCTATATCCCCTTCCCTCCCCCCCCGAGATGACTTTTAAGTCGACTCAAAAGTCGCCCCCCCACCTGTCTTCCCCTATATCCCCTTCCCTCTCCCCCCGCAGCCCCACGGACCAGGAAGTGCTGCTGCACGAGGTGGTGCGGCAGCGGTCGGGGCATCTGTCAGGGGCCGTTATTCTGCTGCACGCCAAGGCACACGACCTGTACCGCGGCATCCACGCCCAGCGCATGATGGCTCAGGTGGGGTGGGCGGGCATTGTTGGGTGGGCGGTGGGTGGTGGGAAGGGGGGTGGGGGTTGAAACAGGGGCGGCGGCCAAGGCACACGACCTGTACCGCAGCATTCATGCCCAGCGCATGATGGCTCAGGTGGGGTGGGCGGGCATTGTTGGGTGGGCGGTGGGTGGTGGGAAGGGGGGTGGGGGTTGAAACAGGGGCGGCGGCCAAGGCACACGACCTGTACCGCGGTATCCATGTACAGCGCATGATGGCACAGGTGCGGAGCGGGGGGGTGGGAAGGGGGTACAGTTGGGAGGGAGGGCGGTGGGTGGTGGGACGGGACGGGAGTCGGGGGGTCTGGGATGGGGGTACAGTTGGGATCGCCTCTGCCTGCAGCCGCTGCTCCTCTAGTTCATTCACCCTCTCCCTGCGGTCCCCTAGTCTCGTGTCATATGGCCTCCATCCGGTACCTATGTATGCACAACCGCCCTAACGCCAAAGCTGCTGCCATGTCGTATCCCCTTCCGCTCCCTCCCGCTCCCCTTCAACCATCCCGTCGTCTCCCTTCCCTTCCTCTCCCCCCCGTTCCATTCCCTCACCCAGGTGCTGTGTGACACATGGCATGGCACGCGAGTAGTACCTCTGCACTGCATGCAACACTATTCCGACGCCAAGCTCCTGCCCTACCATATTCACACCCTTTCGCTTGGGCTCTTGCTCACTCTCCCCCCCCCCCCCCACCATCTGCAGGTCTCATGTGACATGGCACGCGAGTACCTGTGCATGCACCACTACCCCAACGCCAAGCTCCTGCTACAATGCACCCTCACCCATTCCCCGGCCTCCCTCCCTTCTCCCCCAATCCCCCCCTCTCTGCAGGTCTCATGTGACATGGCAAGGGAGTACCTCTGCATGCACGACTACCCCAACGCCAAGCTGCTCCTAGACGCCATTGCCCAGCTCTACCGCCGCGACTCCTTCTCCTCGCTGCTTGCCTTCTGCCTGCTCAACCTCCGCTCCTGCGCGCGCCACCTCTCCCTCCTCCCCGACTTCCTGCTCTATTCTCTCGAGCTCTGCACTCTCCCCGCGCTCCCCTCCCCGCCACCCTCCGCTGCTTCCCCCTCCGCGGTTGCGCTTCCTGCTGCGTCTGCGTCCCTGCCCCCGTCTAGCTGGATGGATTTGGGTTCGGGGGAAGGGGGAGGCGGAGCAGGGGGCGTGGGGGATGTGTACGAGGGGGGTGTGGGGGGGAGTGTGGCGGTGGGGGGGAGAGTGGGGGAGAGGGAGAAGCGGGCAGTTGCACAGGAGCTTCTGCGGGTGCTGAGAGGAGCGCGCATGGATGGGGGCAGCGAGGGGGACGAGGGGGAGAGGCGAGCGAGCGAAGGCGGAGGAAGCGGATTCACCAGAATCTCAGACTCATGGAAAGGAGGAGGGGAAGGCGGAGGGGAGGACAGCGCGAGCAGCTGGGCCAGCAGCGTGACTGCATCTGCAGGAGGGGAGGAGGAATCAGTGAAAAAGGCAGCAGCAGCAGCAGCAGCAGCTGCAGCGGCCCTGAGAGTGGGGCCCACCCACCCGTTCCTCCTCTTCACCCAGGAGCTACCCCACCTGCGTGCAGTGCTCTCTGCTACTGCCGCCTTCCCCCCCCGCCCCGCACACCCCCCCTCACCCCCGCGCATGGGGCAGTCGCTGCAGGTGTGCGTGTCCCTCCTCACCCACTTCCCTATTCCCCTGCGCCTGCAGCGGCTGCTGGTGCGGTTCAGCCAATCGTGCTGCGACACGTGGATTCCGAGCAGTGGGGAGGGGGAGGAGAGGGTGGGCGGGGATGGGGGGAAGGAGGGGAAGGGGAAGGGGGAGGAGGGGGGGAATGCGGAAGGGCTAGTGCTGCAGCCTGGTGTGTGGAAGCGACTGTCCTTGTCCGTTACTCCAGGTAACTGTGATGGTGATGATGGTGATGGTGATGGTGGTGGTGGTGGTGGTGGTGGTGGTGGTGGTGGTGGTGGTGGTGGTGGTGGTGGTGGTGGTGGTGGTGGTGGTGGTGGTGGTGGTGGTGGTGGTGGTGGTGGTGGTGGTGGTGGTGGTGGTGGTGGTGGTGGTGGTGGTGGTGGTGGTGGTGGTGGTGGTGGTGGTGGTGGTGGTGGTGGTGGTGGTGGTGGTGGTGGTGGTGGTGGTGGTGGTGGTGGTGGTGGTGGTGGTGGTGGTGGTGGTGGTGGTGGTGGTGGTGGTGGTGGTGGTGGTGGTGGTGGTGGTGGTGGTGGTGGTGGTGGTGGTGGTGGTGGTGGTGGTGGTGGTGGTGATGGTGGTGATGGTGGTGATGGTGATGATGGTGATGATGGTGATGATGGTGGTGGTGGTGGTGGTGGTGGTGGTGGTGGTGGTGGTGGTGGTGGTGGTGGTGGTGGTGATGGTGGTGGTGATGGTGATGGTGATGGTGATGGTGATGGTGATGGTGATGGTGATGGTGATGGTGGTGGTGGTGATGGTGATGGTGATGGTGGTGATGATGGTGATGATGGTGATGATGGTGATGATGGTGATGATGGTGGTGATGGTGGTGATGATGGTGATGATGGTGATGATGCTCATGATAGCTGCTGCTGCTGGTTGTGATGGCGGCCAGTCACACATGAATGAGTGGCAGGACTGAGAAATTGTCAGCTACAGATGAATCAGCAGGGTGCGTTGAGAAGTGTTTGAGACGTGTTTTGAGACGTGTTTTGAGACGTGTTTTGAGAAGTGTTTTGAGACGTGTTTTGAGACGTCTCAAAACACTTCTTCATACAATTGTCAGCTACAGATGAATCAGCAGGGTGCGTTGAGAAGCACGAGTTCCATTCTTTCTTGTCTCCTCCTTTCCGCTTGTTGTTTCTTGTCTCCTCTGCCCTGCTCTTTTTGCCTCTCCTTCCCCTCATCCTGTCTTCTCTTGTCATGTCTCCCCTCCTCTCCTCTCGCCTTACCTCCTCTCCTTCAGCCTCCCCTCCTTTCGTCCCCTCTCCTCTTCTCACTTCTTCTCTCCTCCCCACTCGTCCCCTCACCTCCCCTCTCGCCTCCTCTCGTCTCCTCTCTCTCGACTCGACTCGACTCGACTCGTCTCCTCTCCTCTCCTCTCCTCTCCTCTCCTCTCCTCTCCCCCTCTCCTCTCTTCTTCCCACCTCTCCTCTCCTTTCCTTTCCTCTCCTCCCCTCCTCTCCCCTCTTCCGCCCCCCCCTCCCATCCCTCCTGTTCTCTCCCCTCCTCTCCTCGTCCCTTCCTCCCTCCTCTCCTCTCTCCTCTCCTCCACCCCGTTTACCCTCACGCCTACCATCCCTCCCTCCACTCCCCTCCCTCCCTCCCCCAGCACTCAGCAAGCTCCTCGAGTGCCTCCAGGTGCAGGCGCACATCACACCACACGCCGTCCTCTCCTCTTCTCTTCCTCCTCTGCTCATCCACCTCCCACCTACCTCCGCTGTCCCCTCGTCCCCCCTCCCTCCCTCCCCCAGCGTTCAGCGGGCTGCTCGAGTGTCTACAGGTGCAGGCGCACATCACACCACACGCCATCCTCTCCTGCCCCATCGACAGCCCGCAAGCAGCAGGCCTCGTGCCCTTCTGGGTCTTCGAAGCCCCCTCTCCCTCGCCCTTTGCCGACTCATCCCTCTCTGTGCTGGGCCAGAAGGCAGTGGAGATAGCAGACGAAGCTCCTCTAGCGGATGTGACTGTGGAGTGTGCAGCAGACGGGGGGTTGGTAGGGGAGGCGTTGCCTGTGCGTGTGTGGGTGCGGTCTCTCGGGCACGCGCTGTGGTCTGCGTCGCTGTCTCTTGTTCTGTCTGCTGCTGCTGCCGCCGCTGGCGCGGCTGGCGGTAATGCTGCTGCTGGTGCTGGTGCCTCTGGTTCTACCTCTACTTCCCCTCTAGCAGCATCGTCCCCTCCCGCCTCGCCTGCTGCTTGGCCCACTGCCCATGCACCCTCCAACAACCCCTCTTCCACCACCACCACCGCTACCAGCAGCAGCACAACCAGCACCACCAACAGTGCAACCGGCAGCGGCGGCACAGGCAAGGAAGGCCCCGGCACTGCCTCTCACAGCATCCCTTCCATAGCCCATCTGCCTGCCTTCGAACCCCCGCCTCTCCCAGGGTATTTGCCCATCCCACCTGCTGGTACTAGTGCAGGGGACGCGTTTGCAGTCCTGGGGGAAGGTAATGCAGGGAGAGACGAGGGGGGGGAAACAGAGGTGCATGGGACTGCTGTTCCCGCGGAAATTCTATTGCCGTGGGGGGAGCAGGGGGGGTGGGCGGGGCAGGGGGCGGGACAGGGGTTGGTAGACGGGGAGACAAGAAGGGAAGTGGGAGAGGTGGATGAAGGAGGGAATCGGATTGAGAGAAGAGTGAGCAGCGAGCAGCAGCAGCTGGTGGCACTGAGAGGAGACATCAAGGTTCCTATGGTGGAACCCCATGGGTCATGGAGCACAGTGGTGTTTGTCCGGTGGAAGGCCGCCCTTCCCCTTAGCTTCATCGCCACGCTCTCGTACTCCTCCTCCCCTCCTGCTCCGGCTGCTGCTGCTGCCTCCACCCAAGCTACACAGGCTGAAGGGAGCGTGAGAGAGGAGCCTGCTGCTGCTGCTCCTGCCGATGCCACTGCTGGTGCGGATGCAGGTGAAGCAGGGGAATGCGCGAGCGAAGGAGGCACAGCAGACCCAGCTGCAGCAGCAGCAGGAGCGGCAGCAGCAGGGGGAGGAACAGCAGGAGCGGCAGCAGCAGGGGGAGGAACAGCAGGAGCGGCAGCAGCAGGGGGAGGAACAGCAGGAGCGGCAGCAGCAGGGGGAGGAACAGCAGGAGCGGCAGAAGGTGTGGTGAGCAGCGAGAGCGCAGCGGGGAGCAGCAGCAGCGCGACCGCCAAAGCACCGTTCCAGGTGTCAAGATCTCAGGACCTGCGGTGCCAAGAAGCTCTCTCAGTGCTCCATCGCTACATCGGCCCCTTTCGAAAAGACTCCCTCATCCCCATATTCCAGTTCTCCCCTGCTGCTGCCTCCACCCCCACCACCTCCTCCGCTGCCTCTACCCCCACCACCCCGCTTCCCCCCTCCACGCCCTCCTCTCTCTCTGCTCTCACAGCAGCAGCAGGAGCAGCAGGAGCAGGGGTGGCGCCGGCAGCAGCTGTGGCGGTGCATGAGACGTGTGTGGTGGCGGTGGTTGTGCGTAACACAGCGTGCACGGCACTGCGGCTGCTGGCAGTGCGAGTGCAGCAGCTGCAAGGGGACGATTCCGCGTGCCTTGTCCGGCCAGTGTCCATGCGTGGCCGTGCATCTGCTGCTCTCGCTGCTGCTGGTGGTGCTGTTTCACACGCAGACGATGGGAGAGATGGTGACAGCAGCAGTGCAGGTGCGGAAAGCGGTGGGGAAGCGGAAGTGCCAATGGCATCAGAATCACAAGAGCAATCAGAGGCGTGCGATTCAGAACTTCCCTTGGTGCTGGGTCAAGGCGAGTCCTTCACCCAGCTCTTCCATGTCACCCCGCGTGTTGCCTCGCCCGCCCTCGTTATCGGCTCGCTGCTGCTCACGTGGCAGCGCCATGCAGCTCAAGGAGAGAGCAGCAATTGGTTGCTAAGTCAGTCAGTTTTGCAAGTGCCTGCAGGCATGGCAAGCGAGAATGTTCTGGCTAGTGGATTGAGTGTCAAGCTTGCAGGCTCTGACCCTGTGGCACTAACTTTAGACGCTGCAGCCCCACCCGACCAGCCACACCAACAGGTAGCCCAGACCCCAACCCCCGCACCCTCATTCCTCCCACAGCTCTCCCCAACCGTCTCGTCTCTCCGGCCGTTCCCGCCCGTTCTCGTCGCGAACCCGATTCTCGTCGCGTCGCTGCGCCTACCGCCGTACACGATCGTCGGGTCGCCCTTCTCCTTCTCCATCCGCCTCTCCAACTGCACCACCTCGCTGCAAGAGGTGGTGTATCAGCTGCAGGACGCGCCCGGCTTTGTCTTTGCAGGCCAGCACAGTGGCTCGGTCACAGTGCTCCCCCGCGCCTCTCTGCGCCTCTCCTTCCGCCTGGTCGCGGTGGCATCGGGTATGCTGCAGCTGCCACTCATTCGGCTCCTGGCCCCCCGCCCTGCTGCCAAGCTCTACCCCTGCCTGCACACGTCGCGGCTGTTTGTCTTCCCCTCTGCCGCTGCTGTGCCTGCTGCTGCTGCATCTGCTGCTGCTGCTGCTGCCGGTGCAGGAGCGGGTAGCAAGAGGGGGATGATGGGCGCCCTTCTGTTGCAACAACCCTAAATGACAAGCATGGGGAGGTTGGGGTGCGAGTTTGGCGGCATGCTTGCTTGTGCTGTCAGTCTCTGCACTGAACGGTGAGTGTGTGCGGCTGTAAGCTTAGTTTGTAAGGTAGGACACAGCACTGCACTGCTAGCTCTTAAAAAGGTTGTGCACAGCTGGTGGTGGATTTTCTATTTTAGGTGATTTTCATTGAGGGGTATTGGAGTATGCTGACCTCATAAATCTCGAGGACATGGGAGATGTAAACAATACAGAAACCGTATGTGTTTCCAAATGGCACTAAGCCCTCAAAAAGTGCTCACAGTTGTGCTCAAGAATGTTACAAATTATTATAATTTTTAAACACACGAAGTGTTTTTCAAAATTACGTATTTCGAAAGCGCAGCTGCTTGTAACACATGTTTTGGCATCGTCAAAGCGCGCTAAACGCCCTTCTCCAACTACAAATCGTGGGTTGGAGCTCATTTCCCTCCACCCACGTCTCTAATTTTTCCAACGGCTCATGCAACTCTACCTTCTCGAGCTCACTTCTAGTTTTACCGTTCAAGCTGGCGAGAACTCGCTCTTTACCTAGAGGCGTTTCCCCTTCAACTTTACTAGCCGACATCCTTAACCAAAACCGCTCAACGATGGCTGCGACGCCGACGCTTAACCGTGCCAACAACAACGTCGCCAACGAACCGATAATTTCCGACAACGACCGTAACTCCCGTGAAACGACGGGCGAGCGTCGCAACAAGCGCCGGGCAGACGGCGAAACATCCACCCCGACCGCCGTGGACGTGCTGTTGGGCGGGCTCGAAGTCAACAAAAACGCCGAGCAGCACCCCCAGCACCCTTCGGCGCCTGTGGCGCCAGTGGCACCTGTGGCGCCAGTGGCGCCAGTGGTGAACGTGGCGACACACGCCACGGACGCGGAGCACGCGCCAGCGGCACACGCCTCCGGCCGGCCGTCGCGTCAGGGCCAGAGGCGCCGTACGGCCACCTAGTCTGACGCGACGGCTGACCAGGCCTTGACCGAGGCGTTGACCCCGGACCAAGTCAAGGCCCTCCTGTCCCTGTTACAGCAGCACCCCGCTAGCGCGATCGCTGTTGGAGTATGAAAGGGAATCGTAACCATTCCCGAAGGTGCAGCAACATCGCACCAGCCACTATCGAAGCAGCGCGAGCAATAGATGTCGGATCAGCCTATATCAAGGCAGGAAAGTCAACAGTCGCAAGAGTCAACTGTCGCGACTATTGACTATCTGGACCGACGATTGACCTACTATCGAGGAATGGCAACAGGCGTAACCGTACGCACGGTTTATTTTATTTTGCTAGCTAGGACTATTTATTTTGCTTGTATTCTATCAACTATCAACCTTTTCATTTACATCCACTATGATCAAGGGTTCCTACAAAGACTTCCGCTACCAACTCTCTCAAGGCACTTCCTATCCTATCCAAGATCCTAACTCTAGCATGGTATGAGAGCCAGTTTTGGATTATAGGAACTGCTAAAAGGAGCTCTTCCAAAAGACAACTCTTTATACAACTTAATACAAGGGCAAGCAAACATGCCAGGCGCCGACTGCGGAGAAACTGGAGAAAATCCAGTACAACCGTCTACCAATGTCACCTCTTCAACGACAACTGTGGACACAGCACTCCTCGAGCAGCTGATTTCCCGCATCAGCGCACTGGAGAGCCATCAGCCAATGAGCATTGACGGCTCCAGCTACGCCCGAAGGCCTCCCGATCCTCAAGGCGCTGGATCTGAACGATCCTTCACCTTCGACAATCGCGGAGCTCCAGGACCTGCTCAAACACAACAAACACATCTCGAGACAATGGCGTCAATGCAGAGCAAGTTCCTGTCAACATCGAAGCTCAGGACAACAAAACCTTTCGACGGGCAAGATTTCTACACCTGGAGCTTCGAATTCGAGCTGCTAGCTCAAGGCGCTCAGATCTGGATGTACTATGACGGGTCATATCCCTTCCCGACCAACGGCTCACCTCAGGAGAAGACGCAGTACTACAACGAGTCTCTCCTGGCTTTCACCGTGTTGATTCGAAACCTGTCACCAGAAGAACAGCTGAGCATTCGCCCCTTCAAGAACGAGTGGGCACCCGCGCAACAATCCTGGGAGCACCTGCGCAACTGCCACATGGCAACAGATTCGGTGACATTGAGTCGCCTGCTCAACCAGCTAAACAACGTCAGAATGTTTCCAGGAGAAAAGGCCGGATCCTACATCAACCGCTGCAGAAATCTGAGAGACCAATTCAGGAAAAGCGGCGGAAACTTCCCTGACGACATGTTCGTGACGATCATTCTTGCTGGATTGAGCTCGGAGTGGCGCCAGTGCAAATCGCTCCTTCGCACTCAAGGAACCGTCAGCGAAACCGCCCTCTGCTCGACACTCCTCTCCGAGCAAAAGGAAATGGATCTGTACAACGAGCGGGGCAACATGAAGGAGAAGATTGCTTTCTACGCACAAGCGCCACCAGACAAGAAGAGACTCTTCTGCAAATACTGCAAGAAGACCGGACACACAATCCAAGACGGTTGGAAGCTGAACAGCAACAACAACAACCAGAAAGGAGCCGCTGCTTACCAGCAAGGAAAGACTCCAGTGCGAAATCAGACCGTGTCACCACCAGCCGTCGCAAGCACGTCCCAAGCTCCTGCGCGCGTCTCTGCAAACACAGCCGACAAGGGCAAAAGCAAGGTGTTAACTTGCATGGTGCGTCGAGGTCTGCCTCGTCCCAACCGACACTATCGCTTCTTCCGCAGCTGGGAAGACATGTTCGCAGATCCGCCGCAAGAGCGTCCTGAAGGGTCAGTCGAGGACGAAGAGGAGAACGACCCAATGTACGACGAGCTGTCGGTCGGACGCATGGAGTACGACTGGGAAATGCCGCCTTGGATCCAGGAGTCGCCACCTGCATGCGAGGCATACGAAGACGAGGATTATACCTACGATTACGAACACGATCATGACATGGAGCATCACATCACGCCAAAACTCGCCAACCTCGCCAAAGCACGAAAGGATGTCAACACCTGGTACCTGGACAGTTGCTGCGGTCAGCACATGGTGTCGTCAGACATCTTCATCCTCAACAGCGAACGACTCTTCAACGAAGTGGAGATTACGGTCGCCAACAGTCAGACGATTTACGCCCACAGCCGCGGACAAGTCCAGCTGCAGTCCCACGACACCGGCTACTGCATCCACGTCAGTGATGTTTGTTAAGATAGTAGGTAGAGGCATGAAAGTAGGAACCCTAGCATGATGAGAGTTTGGAACAAGAGTCGAGAGAGAATGCCAAAAGAGGGTTTCACTATAGACTCAAAGGTACAAATAGGCAAGAAGCATGACAAGAAGGTGCACCACCAAACAGGATGATTAGGATAACTACACTACAGCTAGAACTACATGCAGTTATAACAATATAATTCTGACATCCCCCCATAACTGCATGCAGGAATAGCCAAGTGCAAGACACAACCTGCAACGGTACATCACAGACAGAGAAAACAACAACAGCAAGCAAGAGCAGTTGCAACCAGTGCAGTGGTGGCAAATTCAGCTGCACCAACCCCTCAGCCAAGATAGAAGCAGCAGAAGCAAGTGTAGGGGCGGCAGGTCGCCTGAGGAGCAGGCTCTGTGGCTGCAACGTGCAGCAGGACAGCAGCGGCTCGACGGCAGCACCTACAGGCCCAAGCAGCAGGCAGCAGAAGACAGGGCAGGTGGCGACAGGGGCGACAGCTGGAGGTGCCACAATAGCAGCTGGCGGCAGCAGCAGATGCCCGGCTGAATTCCGCCTCCTCCTCACCCTCCCCCCCACAGCGGCATACGCGGCAGTGAGAGAGAGAGGAGGAGGGGCGGCTGCTGGCTCGGCAGAATCTCTCTCGCCACCCCCTCACACTCCCCCCCTTCCCCCACAGCGAATGGCACTGCAGGAAGAGAGAGGAGAGAGGAGAGCAGCGGCTGGTTCCTACGGGTACACTCCCGCCACTCCTTCACCCTCCCCCCCACAGCGACAGTCGCGTATGGGGCGAGAAAAGGCGATGGCAGGCGCTGCTGGCATCTCACAGCGGTCACCCCATCACGCCACCTCCCCCACTGTCCGCCACCGCCTCCCTCGTGCCTCCACTGCCCGCCAATCCCACATCCCCCCACAGCAGGAGCACTCACGGCAGTTGCAGCGCGGCCGACGGGATGGCGGGTGAGGAAGGTTGCTGGAGCACGATGGGCCGGGAGGGGGGACGTAACGTGAGGCTCGCCAGGGGTCGCGGGTGCAGCACGTCGGGCAGAAGCAGGCGACGCCGCGAATGGCAAGCGATCGCGCACTCGACGGGCTGGTGAAAGTGCGGCGCGACGAGCAGGGCCGCCGACGACGAGCACTAAGCTCGCCGCGCTGGTCGCCGTGACCGTTGCGAAGCAGGCCGCGACCGTCGTGACGTGGCGAGCAGGACGCGACGGGGCCAGCAAGGCGGACGCCATGCTAGGATTAAAATGCGGTGGGCCCATTCAGGTCGTAACCACTCTAATACCATGTTAAGATAGTAGGTAGAGGCATGAAAGTAGGAACCCTAGCATGATGAGAGTTTGGAACAAGAGTCGAGAGAGAATGCCAAAAGAGGGTTTCACTATAGACTCAAAGGTACAAATAGGCAAGAAGCATGACAAGAAGGTGCACCACCAAACAGGATGATTAGGATAACTACACTACAGCTAGAACTACATGCAGTTATAACAATATAATTCTGACAATGTTCTTGTCGTGCCAGAGCTTCGGTACAATCTTCTCTCCCTCCACCAGCTGATGAAGTGCGGAGTCGGCCTGGAAACAACAGAAGACGAAATGCACTTAATATATAAGGGAACCTTCATCGGAAAAGCGACAAGCGTGGAAGGAGTCTTCGTGCTTGACTTCGAGTCGCCAAGAACCTCTGGCGACAGCGAACACATCCTCGTGCTTGATCCACCAGGCCACCCGTCACC